TTCAATAGGGGTGAAGAAACACGGCTAGAGGAAGATCTCTCTCTCTCTCTCTCTCTCTCTCTCTCTCTCTCACACACACACACACACACACACACACACACACACACACACACGGCAGAATCCAAAACAGAATGCGAGAGAGGGGTCATTCTTAGTAGTCCCCAACCCTGCTGGTCCTCATAGCATTCTCCCCTCAAAGGCTGACAGCCTAAAATCATTTAAGAGATGGACTAAAGCCGGTTGTGGTGACGTACACCTTTAAACTTAGTGAATCTCTTGTCACTGAGAGAAGAGAAGCTATATGAGCCAACCATAAATGAGAGAAAACAGAACTAAGACAGGCGCTAAGGACGCGAGGTTCAAGGATGAGCAGGCTCTCTCGCCAGGTTGCTATTACTTAGAGAAAGCATATTCCCAGTGTGTCAGAGACACCAACACAGAGAAATAATAGACTCCATTTCCCCACTCAGTGACGACAGCAGGTCGCCATCCAGCAGATCTTTGAGTTTGAGGCCAGCCTGGTCAACAGAGCAAGTTCCAGGATAGCCAGGGCTACCCAAAGAAACCCTGTCTCAAAAAAAAAAAAAAAGTTTCATTCTTGACTCCCCTGACTTAATCACCTCCCAAACCCCAGCCCATCCCTCACCATCACATTGGTGATGAGGGTTTCAACAAATAGACAGGGGAAGGACAACAGCATTCTGATTTAGTAGCCCTTAAAGCAAAGGAATTGACTGGAACTAATGCCTGTGACACTTCCTGCTGGAGATTCCCACAGCTCACACAGGCTCAGGTTCCCACTGCCCTGGTCCAACTCAGCTGCAATTTTGAATCCGTGGGACGTTTATGTATTAATATTCCTTGCAAAGTGATGGCAGAGCATTATGGTTGCTTTCTGCAAGGTTCTCTTTTCTAACACACTTATTCCGTCTTAAAACTTGAGAGAGTTCTAGGGCCTTCCTGAATGAGGTTGACAACCGAGACTTTTTTGCAGTCTGCAAACCAATGATAGACTGCCACCCTGCGGCGATCACAGGCAACACCTACAGGACCATTTTAGGAGACAGCAGGCAAAAGAAATCAAGAGATCTCCAATTTGGATAGGTACACACACACACACACACACCAATGAATAGATGTCTAAAAATTATAAAAGATCTTCCTTTAAACAACAACAACGACAAAAAACTTGGGGCTTGGGAGAAGCCTCAGCCATTTTGAGCACGGGCTGCTCTTCAGGAGGATCTGGGTTCGACCACATGGCAGCTCACAACTGTAACTCCAGTTCCAGGTGATCTGACAGCCCCTCCTGGCCTCCATGGATGCTGCATGCAGATCATGCAAAACATGTTCAGGTAAACACCTATGCACATAAACAAAAATACATAAAGCTGAAAAGAACTTGCTGAAAGTTTGCTTGTTTTCCATGTAATATTTTGGGGCCATGGCTAATCTGAAAATATATAAAGTAAAAACTTGGATGAGGGAAAGAATACTGTAGAATGGGTGACACCCCCACCCCAACATCTGTCTATATTCTGAGGGGGCTTATGGCAAAACAAAAAACAAAAACCAACAACCCCACAACTTCTGTGCTGAGTGACAGGAGGGGGGCTGACCTGGGGAGCCCGGAAGATGTTACATACGGAGTCTCCCTTACCCAAAACTCCTAAGGTCAGAAGCTTTTGGGATTTTGGGTCATCAAGTTTGGTGGTAAGTACCTTTGCCTGCTGAGCCATCTCACCAGTCTTTGATAAAATACATTTATATTTTAAATGATATGTATGTGAGTGTGTGTATGTGAATACAGGAGTCTAAAAAAGGCAGAAGAGGGCATCAGATTCCCTGGAGCTGGAGTTACAGGCGGTTGTGAGCTACCTGATCCAGCCGCTGGAAACGAACTCAGGTCCTCTACAAGAACAGCACCACCTCTGGGGCCCTGAGCCATCTCTCCAGGCCCCAACTGTGCCTACTCTGTAGAAGGAAACAGTACAGAAAATAAATCAAAACTGAGCCTTCCTCCTCCGAGTCTAAGATCTCAACAGGAAGATCTATGAACAGCTGGAAGAAGCTAAAACAGTGGTATTATCTGGATGAATGCATGTATTGTCTGGATGAATTCATGTATTGTCTGTATGAATTCATGTATTGGACACTTAATCCCAGATGTCTGAGATGTGGGAATTACAGGAAGCACTTGAGTCACAAGGTCTCTGACCTCAGAAGCAGATTCAGCTCCTCAGAGATGGAAGGATTAGTGGCTTTTCTGGGGAGCGGCTTTGAAATAGAAGCAGCTCCCTCAGACACACCTTGCTCTGCCTCACCTGGTGATACCTCTGCTGTGTTCTGACACAGTGAGAACCCACGTGGATACCAATGACGAGCTCTTGGACTTCCTACCCTCCAGAACTGCAAGCTAAGTAAACCTTTATTCTTTATAATTTGCCTGGTATCAGGTGTTTAGTCATGGCAACAGGAAATGACAAAGACATCAGATGTTTCGGGCTCAATGCAGTGGGCTCAGATAGTCTAGTATTCCTCTTCATTTTTCTTATAGCTCTGGAAAAATATGGTAACCAGTAAGGTGTCCTGGGTTAAAGTCCTACACTGTCATGTTCCATCTGTGAGAACAGAGACAGGTGACTGCTGGATTTCATGAGTAGATGCAGGTAATGTCAGAGCCAAAGTGACATTTGAAGTTCTAATTACCACGTCTAGAGATCCATGAGACAAAAATGCCTCTGATCTGCCAGCTCCTTGCCCAAGGACAGACAGTTCCTGAAAGGCTGGAGGCTGCTGTTTATGGGAGATAACAAGCCATATGGGTTTCACTTTCCTAAACAAGTTTGTTTGACCCATTTGCACTGGATGTGCTTGAACACATGTGGGCAGGAGGTTCACAGGTAGGAAATACATCAGTATATAATGCCTCTTGTTGGGAATCTCCTCTCCAGTCTCACTCTCCCATTCCAAACCCTGCCCCTCTGGAGCTACTCAAGACCAGTGATATAGGATTCTCCTCTGTATGCTATGAATATGTTTTATTACCACTGGTTATTAAAGAAGCTGTTTCAGCCGATGACTTCATAGAGTATAGCCAGGCAGGAAATCTAAACAGAGATATAGAGAGAAAGTAGGCAGAGTCAGAGAGATGCCATGTAGCTGCTAAAGAAGAAGGACATGCCAGAACCTTACTGGTAGGCCACAGCCTCATGGTGAGACACAGATTAATAGAAATGGATTAATTTAAGATGTAAGAGTTAGCTAGAAATATGCCTAAGCTATTAGCCAAACAGTATTGCAATTAATACAGTTTCTGTGTTATTCAGGTCTGGGCGGTCAAGAAATGAACGAGCAGTCTCTGCCTATTCTACAGAGTAGTTTATGTAAGGAGGAGTCGCTTGGTTGTCCCAGCCGCCCGGCTAGCTTAGCTCTGAAATAACCACACAGAAACTGTATTAATTAAATCACTGCTTGGCCAATTAGTACTAGCTTCTTATTGGATAACTCTTATATTAATTTAACTGATTTCTATTAATCTATATCATCACAAGCTCATGGCCTACCAGCAAAGTTCTGGCATGTCTGACTCTAGCAGTGACTCCATAGTGTCTCTCTGACTCTGCCTTCTTCCTCCCAGAATCCAGTTCCATCTTCTCTGCCTACCTAAGGTGCCCTATCAACAGGCCAAGGCAGTTTCTTTATTAACCAATGAAAGCAACACACATACAGAAGGACCTCCTATGCCCTACACCATTTCCCCTTTTCTGTTTAAAAAAAAGGAAAGCTTTAACTTTAATATAGCAAAACTACATATAACAAAACAGGTATCAAGCAAGAGTTACAGTTATAATATTTCTATTTACTTCACCTTTATCATAACTAAGGAAATCTATAACTAGAACTATAAATTCTTCAACTCCATCAAAGACTCTAGAAGGATATAATATTACTTAAGTAAACAGGAAGTGCATTATAAGCAACTTCCAAAACTCTAGAATTGACAGAGATATCTCACTGCCTGGACAGTCACCCAAAGCTCTTCTGTACCATTGGAGCATCCATCTTCAGCCTACAGGCCTATAGTATCCAGCAGACTTTTCCATGAAGCAGAAAAATTTCAAAGACAAATCTGCCTATATTGGCATTTTGCCAATCACTTTTTTCTGTATCCTGCAGAATGTCTTGTAGACTCTTTCATGAAGCAGGAACCCAGAAGGATCATCTCACCTTTAGGCAAGTTCAGCAGTCATTTCTCTGTGGGTCGTGCATGTGCAGTTATGAGCAGTTTCTTGCCCAAATGGCTAACCAACTCCATAAGGAGCCTCTTTGATGCCCATCTTCCTCTTGAAGTAATTGGTGCTGCCAGGAGCAGATGTGTCTCATTGTCATGATAAGTCCTAAGTTATTAAAGCATTTAAATGCCATATTCTAAAGGTCTCTGAAAAATTTAAAGAACATATATCACTATATATCTAGAAAATCTAACTAACATGACTACAAACGACTATTATAGATGAAAATCTATTAACCTATATTTCTTAATTATACATTACATTTTTTAAATGAACTATACAAACACAATATCTCAATCAAGATCAGAAATACATACATATAACAAAATTGACCTTAAATTTGTATCAATAAATCAAGATTCATACCAATGCAAATTATTCATATCTATATCATATCCCCCTTTAAATGTAAACAAACATTTATAGACACTATTTGGGAATATGTCTATTTGGTGTAGTTTTTTCCATACTGCTTCCTGCTGATTAGGGGCACTGTTAATCAGGTCTTTTATGGTGTATTCTGTGTGCTAGGTTCATCTCAATCACACAGTTGGAAAAAGTAAATTTTTGAGGGTGTTCATGGCAACCTTTCAGGAGGCCGTAGTCTATTAAACTATATTGGTCTAGAAGCAATCCACAGGTTTTTATCTTCTATGAAAACAAAAGAAGAATCTCTTTTTTTCTGAGGCGTGGTGGTGTGTGCCGCAGAGCCCCGTGCAGCCTGCTTCCATCCTGACTCACCGCTGTTGGCTTCCTGCCTCCCCGCCAAGGAACAAGTTAGTCAGGAAGCCCATGTCATAGCTATGGCTTTCAAAGACACCAGGAAGATGCCTGTGGAGCCCAAGGTGGCAATCCACTGCATCCGAATCACGCTCACCAGCCACAATGTGAAGTCGCTGAAGAAGATGTACACTGACCTGATCAGAGGTGCCAAGGGGAAGAAACTGAAAGTGAAGGGGCTGGTGCACATGCCTACCAAGACCCTGAGGATCACTACAAGAAAAACACCTTGTGGTGAAGGCTCCAAGATGTGGGATTGCTTCCAAATGAGAATCCACAAGCGACTCATTGACTTGCACAGCCCCTCCGAGATTGTTAAGCAGATTACGTCCATCAGTATTGAGTCAGGAGTGGAGGTTGAAGTCACCATTGCAGATGCCTAAGTCAGCTATTATAATAAATTGACTCAGTTAGTTGTAGAAGAAGAAGGAGGGAGGAGGAGGATGAAGAGGAAGAGGAAGAGGAAGGAGAAGAAGAAGGAGGAGGAGGAGGAGAAGAATCTTTTTTCCAAAGCAATATATCCTTAGACTCAAATTTTGGAATCAAGATACCTTTATGTTGGTTTAACTTAACAGTCCATATAATGAAATGTCTTTCTGTACTTAGCTCCTTCACAGTCGAAAAATTCAAAGAAAACACAATAACATACATAGCCCGGACTCTGTGAATTTTCCATCTTTATGTGGCTTATTTTTCTTTACTCCTTTTAATTTATTCCTGTCTGTACTCAGTCTCTTTACTTTTTTTTAATAATTTACTTCTTTTCCAAGTCTCTATATTCTTTTTCTTCTCTCTCCCAAGCCTACATACATTTATCCAACATGGTGACCCATTTAGAGTTCTTTTATGTCTGCATTTGTCTTTATTGTGTTATCAGTAATTCTTTACTGTCTTGAAGAAGTTTTGAAATGGTAAGCAGCTTGGTTACAGCAGCCCTGAGTGCTGTCTCCTCCTCTCTCTGCTTTTCAAAATGGTGGACATACCATTACTGCCAGGTCTGGTAGGAGGCACGCTGAGTGCTTTGACTCTGAGAATGAGTGTGCATCACATAAACTGTTTTTATCTGAGTAATACCTAAATCTGTCAAGCAGAGCACTGCACGGCCTGGAAATAGCTCTGTGCATGGTGGTGGGAATCTGCCATGCTCTCCTGCCTGTACAAGCCTAGTAGACCTGATCCCACAGCCTGCCCAGGTGGGAAGTGCTGAGCTGTGGGCATGATCTCAGCTACTTTCCTCCCAACCCCAAGGGGGCACACAAACGCCTGAGCCCACAAATGCCATTTAAATGCCCCATAGCCAGTGTTTGTGCTGGCTGCACTTTAAAATCTCACAGCATTTTTCCTGCTATGGCTGAATCAGGAAAACCACTCTTAAAGGAGCTGCAGCATGCGGCCAGCAAACAACAAGAAGCTGTGTTAAACTCTGTATTTTTAATTTTTTGTCTAGAATTTCTTTTAAGTCCTCTCAGGTTTTACGTGGATTTAGTTGGCCATGTGAATGCCAATTTGTAGGTGGAGTCACTTGTTTGTCTCGGCCACCTGGCTAGCTTAGCCCCGAAATAACCATACAGAAACTGTATTAATTAAATCACTGCTTGACCAATTAGCATTAGCTTTTTATTGGCTAACTCTTATATTAATTTAATCCATTTCTATTAATCTATATCACCACAAGCTCATGGCCTACCAGCAAAGTTCTGGCATGTCTGACTCTGGCAGTGGCTCCATAGGGTCTCTCTGACTCTGCCTTCTTCCTCCCAGAATCTAGTTCCATCTTCTCTGCCTACCTAAGGTGCCCTATCAACAGGCCAAGGCAGTTTCTTTATTAACCAATGAAAGCAACACACAGACAGAAGGACCACCTGCACCCTGTGCCAATTTGAGTCCCAGTCCCTGTACCTGCAGTTTGATTTCTTTTTTTGCATTTCTCCAGTCACCTGGGTGTTGCTTTGCTTTGTTTATTAAACCTGGTTTTATTAATCAGCTGGATTTGATTTATTGCACCAGCAGAGAAACTCACACCTAGGGATCCAAAATTACTTATTATCCCTGCTGGAAGTAGGATGGAGGTACATCAGGATGTATGCTTGCCCCTGATTGGACCTAATGGGAAATGCAATGAATTATGTGTTTTCCTTATTAAGCTACTTCAAACAATAACTCGGTGCCATGAGTCATACCAGTTGACACCTTCAACTGAAGTTGCTGCCTGCTGAAGTGTTTATCTAATTATCCTTTATCAGTAAAAACTCAGGAGTCAGATGTCGGGGTAAGATCTGAATGATCAGAGTAGTAGCAGAGAAGTGACCAGTGACCTCCTTTCTTGCTCCTTGATCCAAAAAGGGTTGAGATCCTCTCTAAGCCCTGCCCTACTACTGCCTGTCTATCTGTCCTAAGTCCTTCAAAAACTCCATGGTTAATACTGGTCAGCTAGTAACAGGAGTAACAGACCCAGAAGATAGACGTATACTAATTGAATCTTTGGCTTTTGAGAATGCCAACTTAGAATGCAAAAAGATCCTTGGGCCTTTAAAGGTCAGATCAGCACCAATGGATGAATGAATCTTGCATACAATTAATGTTGAGACATTTGACTATAGTACTGAAGCCTGGGTAGGAGAAGCAATTTACAATGGTATGAGGAGACATCAAAATACCAAATGTTTTAATTGTGCCAGAATAGAACATCTGAGAAGGGATTGTAGACAAGGAATTCCTAGGAATAATATCTCTTCTGGGAATGGCAAGAATAGGAGAACTCAGCCCGCAGGTATATGTAGGAGGTGTGGCAAAGGCCAACATTGGACCAATGAATGTAGGTTAACAAAAGACAGACAAGACAACCCAATATCATTGGGAAGCTCCTTGGGGGGGGGGGCTCTCGCAGGACCCCATGACAAACGTGGTCCAATCATTCCCAGTTACTGTAGATAATGTGTCTCACTGGGAAAATTAAAAAAAAAACAAACAGTGCATACTGTAAAATACCATACTGGTCTGGATGATGGAATAGATGTGGAGGATGAATCAATCAAACACTCCAGTAGGACATAGGAAACATATATTCTGGCAAACTTCTATAAATTGTCAAAGACCAAAGCTAAGAATGTGTATAAATGGCATTTTCCTTGAAGGCTTTATAGACACGGGTGCAGATGTAAGTATCAGTACTCTAGAATCTTGGCATCTGAATTGGCCTCTTCAAGAGGCAGATATTCAGTTCCTAGTTCAAGTGAAAACAATGCACGAGATGGGTTAAATGCATAGGGCCAGAAGGACAGAGAAGAAAGTTGAGGCCACTAGCAGCTAATATTGCAGTGAGTTTGTGGGGTCATGACCTATTGCAGCAACTGAATACACAGATTAACATTCCTGCAGCCCCCAAAACTTATGTTTCTGGGGAAGATATTAGAAGATATTATAGACAAAGGTCACTAACTATTCAGGCTGTACAAAAACACAAAGCAATTGACAAACCTTCAGAGGTACTAATGGCCCTGCCTTTAAAGTGGTTAACTGAGAAACCAATGTGGGTTAAACAGTGGACTTTAACAAAAGAAAAGCTGCAGGCTTTAGAACTGGTACAAGAGCAACTAGATGCTCACCATATTGAAGGATCAACCAGTCTATGGAATTCTCCTGTATTTATTGTTAAAAAGAAATCTGGAAAACGGAGAAGGGTGACACATCTTAGAGCTATCAACAAGGATATCCAACCTATGGGCCCTCTACAGTCTGGAATTCCTCTGCCTTATCTGTTACCAAAAGGATGGCCTCTCATAGTTATTGATATAAAGGATTGTTTCTTCACTATACCAATACAAGAAAAGGTCAGAGAAAAATTTGCCTTCACGGTGCCTACTTATAATAAGTCTCAGCCTACTAGGAGATATCAATGGACCATCCTCCCACAAGGAATACTCAATAGTCTGACCCTGTGCCAATACTTTGTCAGTCAGCCATTGGAAATAACGTAAGTAATTTCCTAAGTCTATAATCTACCATTACATGGATGACATTTTGTTATCTGATTCAAATGCAGATACTTTATAAAGAATGTTTGAAGAAGTAAAGAAAGTTTTTGCCTAAATGGGGATTACAAATTGCTCCTGAAAAGATTCAAAGAGGTGATTCTGTTAATTACCTAGGTTACAGGATAGGTTTACAGAAAATTAGAACACAAAAGACACAAATTAGGAGAGACTGGTTACAGAGTCTTAATGACTTTCAAAGATTATTAGGAGATATTTCCAGTCTACGACAAGCTGTTGGGATAACACCTGACCTAATAGTTCATAAAAAAAAAACCTTAGATGGTAACAAAGACTTGAATAGTCCCAGAAAATTAGCAGCTGAAGCAAAAAAGGAATTGATGAGTTTTGAGAAGAAATTACAGGAAGCACATGTGGATAGGGTGAATCCAAATCTTAATTGTAGTCTAGCCATATTGCCTTCCAACATTTCTCCTATAGAAATTTTAATGCAGAGGAATGATATTATCTTAGAATGGATCTTTTTACCACATAAACCAAGTAAAAAATTCAAAACTTATGTGGAAAAGTCTCTTAATTAATTATAAAAGGTAAATTGAGACTTTTTCAATTAGCAGGCATAGACTCAGCAGAGATTATAGTGCCTTTTATTACTGATGAAATAATAAGTTATGGGAAGACAATGAACCATGGCAAAGAGCTTGTGCTAATTTTTTTGGGAGAAATTAATAGCAATTATCCCAAAAGTGATAGACTTAACCTTATAAAGAAAACTTCTTGGATTCTTCCCCAAATTGTATGTGATGCACCAATAACTGGAATCCATACATTTTATTCTGATGCAAATAAATCAGGGAAGGCAGGTTAAAAATCAGAAGAATTAAGTAATATGGAACAAAGCCCTAATAATTCTGTCCAGAAGGCATAATTATATGTTATTTGTATTGTACTTAGGGATTTTAAAGAACCTCTCAATATAGTTACTGATTCACAATATGCAGAAAAAGTCTTGTATATTAAAACCACTGAATTTATACCAGATGATACAGAATTGACTTCATTTTTCATTCAGATGCAAGACATAATCAGGAATAGGCTTTGTCCTATATACATAACACACAGCCAATCCCATATTGGTCTGCAGGTCCTCTAGCACAAGGTAATGCAGAAATTGATTAATTATTGATTGGAAGTATATTGCAGGTCTCAGAATTTTATGAAAAACATCATGTCAATAGCAAAGGTTTAAAGAAAGAATTTTCTACTACATGGCAACAAGCTAAGAAGATTATAAAGAGATGCCCTACTTGTTTTTTCTATAACCAAACACCATTACCTGCAGGCTACCTGAGTAACCCCAAGGATACTCAAAGGAATGAGATATGGCAGAT